TTTTTTTTTTTTCGCCCTCTCGCACCGATTTTGGGGTACCCAGAGGATGTCATCCATAAAAATAAAAAAGTGTGGCCTAAGAAGATGCAGGGGAAACCTCACTTTCGGTATCTGGACTTTTTGATTTTTATTTATTATCTTTTTTTGTTTGTTTGTTTGTTTGTTTGTTTGTTTTTGGAAAGCATTAAGTACAGGTATGCAATTTACACCTTCGTGCATTGCTTTGTTGGATCATTTCAGAGTCTGATTATTTACAAGATAGAATTTAACAACACGCATGCTTGTTTTTTGACTCCAATGAATACATCTGACGAGATTCATGAGGTATGATTTACTTGATATTTATTTACATGAATAAACATTTCTGAACAACTTACAAACGTGTTGAATTAAGTGGTGTTTAAGATATAGAAAAATATTTTATTAAAATTAGATAAAAACATATATATATAATAACAAAACTTTATAGTGACATGACATAACATTTTATCTGTGTCACATAACATAGCATAATTAATTTAGACTTTGCTTTTAGAACATAGTAGAAAATACGTCAGGTGAAGAAGATGGCAATGATGATGATGAGCTGATGACCTTCTTTGTCAATGCTTCCCCGATCAAGAACAAAACATTCCTGAATCCCAGTGTTCAGGAATTCTGCAGGGATCTTGATGCATACTGGCTCATTCAGATGGACAACAATACTCTAGATGGCGCCAACACGCACTACCCAGCAGGTACGTATACGCACAAAATAAATCTCTGACCATTAATCATCATTATTGGGAAACGTACAGCTATGCCAGCGCAGTGGGCCTTTTTTTTACTTTATTTTTTATATTATATTATATTATATTATATTATATTATATTATATTATATTATAGATGGTGATCACGATCGCGAGAAACGCAGCCCCTGCAGTAATAATGTTAACATTTGTGAGTCACAATATTGCACCAGTAGGCCTACTTATGGTGGTGGTTCGAAGTACACTTGTTGGAAGGAATATATTTCTTGTACGAGATGTGGATCTTGGTGGTTCTTTGACAGATAACAATTTTACAACGATTTTAATTTATATTGGTAAAATCTGGGTTTGATGGGTTTGCCACACAAATTGATCGACATATGTGCATTTTTTGTTTGAAAATCATAATACCCCCAAACCCAATATAGAAGTGCATTTCACGCGTTGAAGTGTCAAAAAATAAAAATGAATTAATTCAAAATTGTATTCAATATTTCAAAACATATATGAGTACAGAACAAAAATCCACGACTGTCTCAACTGAAATTCAATTTTTTAATTATGTACAGACACAGATGTGTCTGTACATATAGCCGTCACCTGCGTCTGTCGTCGTCGCCGTCGTGCACTTTCACCGATAACACGATAAGTGGAAAACCATTTTACCTTTTGGCTTGAAAC